TCGTTTTAGTTGATTCATATCCAATCACACTTTTAATAATGTTCTCCTCGACCACATAAATATATCACCACGTTAACACTTTAGAGAGGATTTCTTGATTTTATTTATATTTTTTTTATTATTGAACTTGGTTAGTGCAATTTTGTATTTTTTTTATCTTATGCGTTCCCAATTATTGTTGAATTGCCCAATTCTTATTTTTTCCTCCCACTCGTGAGATTTTTTTTTTTTCAAACGATAGACCTGCATTAAATACACACATAATGACAGATTAAGGATACAATCGATAACAGTCGAAAGAAGCAATTACACAGCTGAATCCCCATGGGAGGACAACTCAGAGGGCAGCCTAAACTACTACAACACACTCGTGAGATTCAAAATGTTCATATAATAAAGAAAAATCTCAACACATGCATTCATTTGAATAACCTTTGAATTGTTTGACCAAGAAGAAAAAAAAAATAAAAAAACAACTACCAAAATAAATATTCAAAGACATAGTTTTTCAGCATGACTAGCCCGACGTTAGACCTGAAACCAAATCGACCCGGAGTCAAAATGGGTTCGGCTGGATTATTTGGATCGGGGAACAATGGGCCCGGTCAAACCCGATCTTGACCTGGGGCAATGACCTGCCCCCTTTTTAAAAAATAATTTTTAAAAATAAAACTATGTATATAGATTTCATTTAGATGGTAAATACTTATTATGAAATACAACGTTATTAACACTCTCATGTACAAATTTTATATACAAAAAATATATTACAAAAATACTATACAATAGTTAAAAAATTTTAAAATTAATTATTTGATAGAGCAATTGAACCGATAACCCGACGATTTAACCAGTAACTTGGTGACTTGTTAAAAACTATGCTCAAAGAACTTATCCTACATAAATACCCCACAAGACAAAGTGATATAGAGGGCGCTTGTTTATGGAATAATTTGTTCAAAATGAGTTAATTTGGTTAACTATAGCTAATTTTGAAAAATGTGGTATGGTTAGTTGTTAGTGGAATTTTAAGAATGTATTAAAATAATATTTAAAATAAAATAATTAATATTAATTTGATGTAAAAGTAGGAGATAAATGATTGAAAATGATTGGAAATGATAGGTAGTTAAAATTATGTGAGTGGATGAATAATGAATTAAAGTTGATGTGATGTGTAAGAATGATTGGTTTGTATAATTTAATTATATGAATAATACTAAAGATAGTGAAATTGGATTAAAATTGAATTAGATTTTGAGTATGAATTGAATGAAAATGAAATAATTTGTAAACAAGCACGACCATAGTTATTCAGTTTACAAATAGGCCGATAGTGACTGCGCCTCATAATATAATATTAAAATAAAAGCATGAGATAACCACTGAGTTTGATTGGGATTTTGGAATTATATTTAGCATTTAATTGGTTTGACTAAAACTGGGTTAAATTTGTATAGAGCTGCTTCACATTCCCGTGCCTCTAAAATCTAAAACCTAACCGAAAAGAATAATAATAAATAAAAAAATCTGCAAGTCATAATTTGGAATAAAGTACGTAAGAACAGATAGGACTATACTAGGAGGTATGTCACGGGAAACCATATCCAGGCTGTAACCTTTTATTTTCTTTGTTTTTTCTTCAAAATGTAGCTAAGGGCATGTTTATGGAAATTTTTCAAAAAAATTTCAATATTTTAACTCAATTATTTTTTCTAACTCAACTTTAACTCAATTCCAGTATCATCAATATTATTAATACAATTAAATAATATTAATCAATCATTCATACACACCACATCAACCTTAATTCACTATTCATCCACTCACATTATTTTAATTAACTATCACTCCAATCATCTCTCTCTTACTTTTACATCAAATCAATTTTAATTATTTTATTTTAAATATTATTTTAATATACCCACTAACAACTAACCATATCACTTTTTTTAAAATTATCCAAACCAAACCAAAAAATCCAAACAAAACAAAAAATTTTCATAAACAAACATGCTCTAAATCTCGCGGATCCAGAATTTTTTATGAACCAGGGCAAAAATAGTTAAAAGAAAACATTCACCAATATTGCATAAAGTACTTATATTAACAATTAACTAAATCGTTGAAACAATCGAGAGGAATTCTCTATTCAATTTACTTTGACTTGATACTCAAAATGAAATGAAAAATGAGGTCTGGATATTTGATTTTGCATTTTTATTATTATGAAGTATAGCAAAAATATGTTACAATCCATTTTCTATCATTTTTTGTAATAAGTTATAAGTGATCATTTGAAATATAATTTATTAATTTTAAAATAAGCCTAGATGACATCATTTTAGTTTATGGTATTTTATAAAGAGGTCCTTATGACTTCTTACATACAAATGTAGAGTTTTTCAGCGCTTTGTAATTCTATATGTTAATTTATAAGGGTTCGAAGTAGTCTATATAAATAATTAAATATCGATCTTTATTCATGTTTGTTAGAACTTTCAAATTTAAATACTTGACTAACTTAAATTGCAAATATATTTTAAAAGTTAATAACATTTATATTTGTTATTATTTTTTATATATGATAAATTAAATTATTCACATTTTCTAATCTATAATTTGACATTCATATCGTATATATAAATAATTTTTAAATTAAATATTTATCAGTTAAAATTAAAAAATGATAAATTTATCTATCAAACTTACTATAAGGTATAAGAAGCAAAAATATTGTAATATAATACCATCGAATCTGACAGGCGAGGTATATCATTTTAAATGAAAAATAATATTATTTTGTAAGAATTGTTTAAAATTCTAAAATAAAAATTTATATTTTATATTTTTACAATTATTAAATATAATTTTTTTTAATCAACATATGTTAATATATAAATTATATAGTTAGCAAAAAATTCAGCCTAGGCAATTGCCTGGGCTAGACAGTATATGAATCCGCCCCTGAATCTCATAAATATTTTTTCCTCACTTATATAACAAATAATGTTATCTTATAACAAAAACAAACAAGATATAATATATGTTATTATAAGAAAATCATCTTTTGATTATTGCTCAATCATTTATACCAATCTTATTGACATTTCTATGTTGATATTTTTTTTAAGTAAAATATTATGAAGCCATTAAGGCCATTTTTATATTTTCGTTGTTGTCCTTTTTATAAGCATTAATAGCTTCTGGCAAATGGTTGTTGTGAATCCTGTGATAAATCAGTGGTACTTTGTGTGTTGTGTGTCGGATGATTGTGTCATTTCTCTATTCTTTTATTCTTTCATTTACTTGTCTACCCTTTTTTTACAAAAAAATACAAAATTTAATAAACTTGTAAAATAGCCAATCAAAACTTGCATATGGTTATGTTTCGAAGGACGATCAATTTTGGGCTTAAACAGGAAGATTAGGGCACATAATTACATTACCAAAATTTGAAGTGGCATGAACATTTTGATAAGTAGGGTCAAAATATCACAGCGATTTTGTTTATCATCACAAATATATTTTTATATATAATTATGGTAAAAGTATGTGTGGAATGATGATGATTGTTCAAAATTATGGTCGAGATTGATTTGATAACTGAATTGAATAGGTTTGTTCAGGTTTCTAATCATATCAAGCATGACTCTCCTAATTCAACTTCATATCATTTTTTTGATAATTTATAGGTTGACTTTAAATAGTATATATATAAGGATTATTTTTTTTGCCGATATTTGATATTTTCAACAGTTGTGAAAACTACCGTTTGAATTGCTAAATCCCCTCTATATATAATTTCAGAATGCGCTGAGCCTACGTGGCAAATTCTCATGCTTTGGAATCCTATTTGGCAAAAAATCATGTTTTGGAGTTAGGCTTGGATATAAATTAATATTTATATTAATTGTATTTTAATATCATTTTCTATTATAACCATTGAATTGCAAGTATATTTTAAAAGTTGATAACTTTTGTATTTCTTATCGGTTTTACATATATAATATATCAAATTAATCATCTTTTAATGAGTTTCGATTTGACATTCATATTGTATATATAAAATAAATAAATTATATTTATCTTTATAATAATAATAAAATTATCTATTAAAATTAATTAAAAAATAAAATTATTTATCAATTAATATTTTGCTTAATATTAAATAAACATATTCTACACTTATGCATATACATATCACCATAATATTTCTATTTACTTAAGATATATATTTTTGTACTTATGTAATAGTAAATAATATCGATATTATTATGATATAAGTAAAAAAATTCAACACGGGTTGACATTTTCATATACATATTGTATATATAAAATAAATAAATTATATTTATCTTTATAATAGTAATAAAATTATTTATTACAATTAATTAGAAAATAAAATTATTTATCAATTAATATTTTTCATAATATTAAATAAACATATTCTACACTTATGCATATACATATCACCATAATATTTCTATTTACTTAAGATATATATTTTTTTGCTTATGTAATAGTAAATAATATCGTTATTATTATATGATATAAGTAAACAAATTCAAAACGGGTTGACATTTTTATTTAATGTACAAGTGTTTACTTATTATGATTAAAAAAATATAATTTGACAATTTAATTAAAATCCAAAGTAGTGTTTTATATAGAATTAAATTATTTTAATTTTTAAAAAAATAAAAAAAATAATATTTTTTACAAAAACTTTCTAATTCAACACCCGTGTAATACACGGGTATTGCACTAGTCTAACATTAATTATAATCAATAACTAATTCTAGCACAACATATCCTATTGGTACTTTCTGATGGAAAATGTAGCATAGATATACCTTTCAAATTTCAGTTGAAATACATTGCATTGGAATTTGGAGAGATTTTCTAGTAGTACACTAAAAACTAATGACATAGTATTAGAACAATTAATATCAAAAGAATATTCACATTTACGGAAAAAAAAATCTTAAAAAGTTTCTTAAGATGTTCTAGAAAAACAATGTTCACACACATTTTATATATAGAACACAGAAAATGTTGCTCAACTATGGTCTAAAAACAAAAATCAACTTGCATGATGCATAGTAAAAGTCTTACCTTACCAAGATAAATCCGTGAATCTAACAAGTGACAGGCGCGTATGCTCCAACATCCTACGTGGTAGCATATCATGATTTGAAACTAGGCTGGTATAAAATATAAATACTTTTTATGTAGAACAAATAGGCTTGATTGTGTTCGGAGCTGGTGTCTTGAGGGTGATTGTGTCAAGGCGGGCTCCGGGCATCGTGAGACGGTGGCTGGGGTCGAGACAAGCTTTTAATGACGACCTTCGTTCCTCTTTTCGTCTTGGTGATGGGCTTAGAGTGGTCCTCCGATGGCGGCTCTTGATGCGGTTTGTGCGGGTTCGTGGCCTTCGGGGTGGGTTGGGGGTGGAATTAATCGCGGGTCTACAGGGGTTGTACCTTTGGTGGCCACTCGGTATGTCGTCGATCTTGTCGGATGGGTTTCAGTACCGAGGGGTCGCTTGGGTCTTGAATCGAGTGTTGCGGATGCGATGTGCGCTCGGATGGAAGGGAGGGTTGTAGTTTTCTTTGTTTTTGTTCCTTTATTTCATGTTTGTGTGTTTGTGTGTTGTAGGTTTTTTGGTTTTGTATTTTCTCCTTCTGAGAATACGTTTCTCCTGTTGGGAGCGTGTTTTTTCCACTTATGGGAGTGTGTGTTCTCCACTTGTAGGAGCGTGTCTTTCTCCACTTGTGAGTTGTAGCTTTTGTTTGTGGGTGTGTTGTTCTGTGTTTCTAGTGTAGGCTTTAGGCAACCTTCGGGTTAGGCCTCTCACTAGACTCGGCTTTATAGCTGATATTTTTAGCTATTTAGTTGGTTCTAGATGTAATTATATGTTTTCTATTATAATTTCTATCGTTTTGAGAAAAAAAAATATTTTTCTTATATCCATATTTTTGCTTTGAAATTTTGTCCTCATTCAAAAAATTTTATGGTGTTCTATTTTTTTTATATATTTATTGAAGAAAGTTTTTTAATGGAATATTTTTTATAACTTTATCTTTGGTAATTGCATTGATTATATTTTCCATAATTCTCATATCCACATAATTCTCATATCACTCCACCCGAGGGATGGATCAAAGTGAACTCGGATGGGTCGTTTAACCCGGCGTCGGGCATGGCTAGTGCGGGTGGCGTGTTACGTGATTTTTGTGGCCAATGGGTTAAGGGCTTCATCATGAACATAGGTTTTTGCTCAATTACGGGAGCGGAACTTTGGGGGATCTTCCAAGGCCTTACTGTAGCATGGAAGTTGGGACATCGACAGGTGATAGCGGAGATAGATAGCCTATGTGCGTTTACAATGATACAAAGTGGCCGTGAGGAATCATGGGACCCATAGTTTACTGATAATGTCCATAAGAGAATTATTGACGAGGCCATGGGAGGTGAAGATGGTTCACGAATACCGTGAAGCAAATTTTGTGGCCGACTGCCTGGCCAAAGCTGCCGCACGAAGCCCAACAGGTTTCCAGCTATTAGATGAGCCGCCGGGGGAAGCTCGACAATGGCTACATCATGATGTTCTCGGGGTCGCACACCCACGAAGTGTTCTAATATCTAGCATCTAGGCATTTGCCTCTCTTCTTTGTACCAAAAAAAAAAAATACCACGCTATTAGAGCATCCATAATGCTTTGGGTTCAGTCCCAAAAAAATATATGCCACCTAATAAATAGACTCAGTCTAAGAAAATATATTCTCCAATGCAAATAAAAGTAGACTGGGTCTTGCTGATGTGGCAGCCAGAAAAAGAGTCTCGGTCTCCCTTTAAGTCTATTTTAGACCCAAGCAGAAACCTAGTCTCTTTGCATTGGAGTGGATTTTATTAATTTTACATAGTTTTATCCATGTCATCCAATACTTGGGTTTATTTACATGTCACATAAGCAAGACTAGACCCAATGCATTGTAGATGTTCTTATAATCATGCACATATATAGGGTACATATGCCAAATTATTGTTAAAGAATTTGACAATTGATATATGAAACTATTGCTAATTAATTTGATAATGGATATGTGGATTTATACATCGAATTTGCATACAAGCCTTACTCGGGTAGTTTATATATATAAAAATAAAAAAAAAAATAATTGGACAAAAATAAAGAGAACAAAAAATTTGTGGACAACAATAAAAAGCACGTATTCTCATAATACGTCTTTTTAATTAATTTTTGTTTTTAAAAAATGTATTATGGTAATACGTTTTAAAATTATATTTATAAAATGTTATTTTTTTAATAATTGAAAAACAATATAAAACGTATTTCAATAATACGTTTTATAAAAAAATTAATAAATAAAACGTATTTTAATAATATGTTTAATAAATAATTAAGAAATAAAATGTATTATTATAATACGCTTTATAAATAATTAAGAAATAAAACGTATTTTGATAATACGTTTTATATTTTAAAATTAATGAAAAAAAAATTAATATGTAATATGTATTTTGTGTTTTGGGTTCGTTTGGACTTGTCTGAACTCAGAATTGAGTTCCGTTTTTTCCTATACGTAGCTAACGAACCCCTCTATTCAATGATGCTTGCATGACCAAATTATTCTTTAAATCATATTCTCCCAAAGCTCTTGACCGATACATTAAACATGTTTCGCGCGACTTTTTTTTTTGGGCCCGTTCAGACTCGTCCAAGCTCGAAATTGATTTTCGCTTCTTCCAATATATCGCCAAAGACCATTCTACACAACCATGATTGTCCGGTCAATTTTCGGGCTAAATCTACTTCTCACGGGCTAAATAATTAATAAATCACCCATTATATGATTTGTTAATGATTTAGCCCCGTGAGGAATAGATTTAACTCAAAAATTGACCGATCAATCATGGTTGTGTAGGCGGGTTCATTGGAGACAAATAGAATAAAAATGGAACTCAACTACAAGCTTGGACGAGTCCGAACAGGCCCAAAAAATAAAGTCGCGCGAAATACATTTAATGTGTAAATCAAGAGTTTTGAGAGAATATGACTTCAAGAATAATTTGGTCATGTATGTATCATTGAATAGAGGGGTTCATTAGCTACGTATAGAAAAAAACAGAACTCAATTCCGAGCTTAGACGAGTCCGAACGGGCGTTGTTGTCGTTCGCGGTCACGACGTCTTCTACCTCCACCAATGTTGGCAGCGGGTTGATGTCTCGCTCTGTGTGACTGTGTACTCTGGGATGGGACGTAGTCCTCCTCGGATAGAACTTGACTGAACGACTCCCCTTGTGTGACCTCTTGGCCTCCAACAGTTAGAGAACTATAGGTTTTCTCCCGGATGAGTGCACAGAAGATCAACATATTTGGATGTATAGGGGGTGGATCTTCTGTTGGAACATACGCGAAGTCCACTTGTCTGATAAGGTTTCTCCGTCAGTTTGGGTGTCAGCAGTCCATCCCCTAAAATCCGATGATTAGTAGTGAGCAAGAATGAGAGACACACCACAGAGGCCGTAGAATGACTGGGAGGGCATTTGGTGACCGGGTCGCCTTTCATTCACAGCTTACCAAGGGCTGAATATCGATGAAAGAGAACAAAATGTCCTCCAAGATGTCCCTGTGGATCACTTTTTACAGGCTGAGTAGGGTTACATTGATTGGTTTTACACTAGAACTGTAAGACTTATCAGTGACCCTACCAAGTACACGGTGGTCCAACAGGACGACGACTATCAGACAGTTGCTGAGCGGGAGAAGTGCGATGTAAGTGTTCATAATTTGTGGTTATTATTATTATTATTATTATTATTATTATTATTATTATTATTATTATTATTATTATTATTATTATTTCAGACTCAAGCCCTAGAGGGGGTTTATAACTCGTTAGCGAATATTTAAGACATATTTCCTACACTCCCTCCACGGGCGCAGGCTGCATTCCAACAGTCCTACAACATTGCCTATAGTTATCTGATCAACAGTTCCACAACATTGGCTATAGTTCTTTGACTGTTGGAGGTCAAGAGGTCATACAAGGAGCGTCGTTCAGTCAAGTTCTATCCGAGGAGGACTACGTCCCATCCCAGAAAACACAGTCACAGAGAGCGAGGCATCAACCCCCTGCCAACATTGACGGAGGTAGAAGACGTCGTGACCACGAACAACAACAACGCCCGTTCGGAATTGAGTTCCATTTTTTCTATACGTAGCTAACGAACCTCTTTATTCAATGATACGTGCATGACCAAATTATTCTTGATATCATATTCTCCCAAAGCTCTTGACCTACACATTAAACGTGTTTCACGCGACTTTGCTTTTTGGGCCCGTTCGGACTCGTCCAAGCTCAAAATTGATTTTCGCTTCTTCTTGTATGTCGCCATCGAACCCATCTACACAAACATGATTGCTCGGTCAGTTTTTGGGTTAAATCTATTCATCACGGGGCCAAATAATTAACAAATCACCTATTAACAAATCCTCCATGGACCATCTATTTATCTAATGGGTGATTTGTTAATTATTTAGCCCGTGAGGAATAGATTTAGCCCGAAAATTGACCGGACAATCATGGTTGTGTAGATGGCTTCGTTGGCGACATATATAAAGAAGCAGAAATCAATTTGAGCTTGGACGAATTCGAACGGGTCCAAAAAGCAAAGTCGTGCGAAACACGTTTAATGTGTAGGTCAAGAGCTTTGGGAGAATATGATTTCAAGAATAATTTGGTCATGTATGCATCATTGAATAGAGGGGTTCGTTAGCTACGTATAGGAAAACCGGTACTCAATTCCGAGTTCAGACGAGCCCAAAACACAAAACACATACTATATACTACCTCCTATTCTTTTTAAATGTCATTTTGGCTTTATTAACTATTATCCAAATAAATGTCGTTTTGGATTTTTTGTACATATTTTTCTATTATTACCCTCATTTAGCTAATAAATGCACTACGTCTTTTCATATTCACTCTTCATTTTTTCCTAAAACATCATTCGTTATCTTTATTAAAGAGGGTTATTATTGACAAAAAAAATATCCTTAATTACTGTGCAACTTCTTAAAACGACACTTATTATGAATAGGAGGGAGTATTAATTTTTTTATTCATTAATTTTGAAGTATAAAACGTATTATCAAAATACGTTTTATTTCTTAACTATTGTAAAACGTATTATAAATAACGTATTTGGATAATTCGTTTTAGTTTTTAATTATTTGTTTAGTTCTTATTTATTGATAAAACGTATAACCAAAATATGTTTTATTTATTAATTTCTTTCTAAAACGTATTTTGTGAATACGTTTCATAAATAAAAACGTATTCTCAAAATACGTGGTTTTGATTTTTGTCTACATATTTTTAATTTTTTTGGTTTTTGTCCACTTAATTTTTTTATTTTTAAATAAATAAATAAATCAGACTTACTCAGTTAGTTATACAAAAACAATTTTATTTTACTATATACTCGAAGTATACTAAAATATTGATACTAGTACTGGAAAATGTTATGGTACGCTATGGTATGAGGTAAAAAACAAGAATATTGATCTATTTGACATGTGTAATACACGATTATTATTATGAATAAATCTAATAATGTTATTTATAATATCTATTATGAAATTAGAATAAAAAACCTTTGTATTTAATGTATGATATACAATTTTTGTCTACTATTTATTGTATATTTATTTTATTTTTTAATTTTAAAATGAAAAATACATTTTCATTTTTAATTTTTTTTTTCTTTTATAAGGAATCCCTGTAGCACAGGATGTTGTAAGATAGGGACCACAAATAGGTCAATGTCCTTATCTGCAAGTTTAAATGTAAAAGGGATAATATTGTCCAAGTATTTGGATTCTAGCATACAAACCAGAATCTTATTTGAACATCAAACAAGGAAAAATTTATTTTTCTTGTGAAATATGCATAAAGAAGTTTAAGTTAATTAACTGCATGATTATTAGTTTATTACCATGCTTACATTTATTAGAACTTAGAAGCATTAAAGGTACTATTAATATTTTGACTTTATAAGTTATATACATTGATAATATCATCTCATCAAGCACTATGTTGTCTGACAATAAGCTGCCAAGATAATGCTTCTTGCCTCGAGAAAAAACACAGGACTTAAAATGCTTTTAAAAAATGAAAAATACTCTTATGTGAATTTATTTGCAAATAAAATACTATATTTTTGGGTTCATTTTGTTAACAAATTAATCAATTCAAAATGAGTTTTTTTTGTTAATTAGAGTTAATTTTAAAAATATTGTATGATTAGTTATTAGTAAATTTTTGAGTTTATATTAAAATAATATTTAAAATAAAATAATTAATATTGATTTGATGTGAACGTAGGACAAAGATTATGTGAAGTGATGATTAATTATTATTACGCGAGTAGATGAATAATGAATTAAAAGTTGATGTGATATGTAAGAATTTTTTATTTGTATTGCTTAATTATATTGGTAGTATTAAAGATAGTGAGATTGAGTTAAAGATGAGTCAGATTCTGTGTTTTTACGAATTTCAACTCATCAAGCTTGAATTGAATCCTTTGTTAGTTTAATAAACAAATACGAGCTAGAATATAATTATTCGGCTATGAGTAACACCATAGTTTTAGTCTTTACTAATTTATTTGTTGAAATTATTTTAATTTAGCAATCACACCCACATGACAAAAATGATTATATAGCTAATGACAAATAAATGGGACAGCAAAACGGGAAAAAGGTAAAGGTTGAGGACCAACCGTCAATTTCCTTAAAGATTACTCCAATTGAAATAAAGTAACAAGTTCAATTTTAAAGATGCAATAATAAAAAGGATGCATGCCATGATGAATTGGTTTAAATTTATTCGTAGGCTATCTACAGATCTAACCACTCCTCTATGTATTAGGGAATTTGGATGATATACAAATAAATAATTTGCAATTTTGTTTTCAATTATGCAAAGAATTTATTAAAAAATAATTCCGACCACCACCATTGTTTAGTCACACTCTTTAATTTACAGCTCAGAATGGTTCCATTCTTATGCCAAAAGAGCAAAGCAAAAACAAAAGCATGGAGATAGAGACCGACCCACAAATTCAATCGATGAGGTCCAATAAATAATGACTATATAATTTTAAAAAATTATGTGTCCTCATTAATAATTTAATTTATACATAAAAAATTTCGTTTGCATATTTTATTTAATAATATTTTCGACAACTCTTTTTTATATAGCGAATTAGTATTGACCAAGAAAAAAAAAATCATGTTTCAATATTTCAAATTAGCTTAGCAAGAAGGGTCTAAAATACATTTTTTATGGTTGAATTTTGCTATATAAAAATTATAAAATATTTTAAGGTTGAATTAGAATTATGAATGTGAATATTATCAAAATCTAGCATTTAACCCAAAAATATATTGTAAGAGAACCACAGCATATCCATAAATTTGTAACAGTTCTCACGGAAATAAAGTTTATGAAAGCTTCTACAAGGTGCATAGATATTTTGCTACATCTATGGGTAAAATAATGACATTATTTTTTTTTTTAAAAAAAGAATGACAATATCTTATCAAAAATATTTTTAAAATTGTATATTTTAATCGAATGGACCCAGTGTCTCCTGGCCCCATCTAGGTCCTCCATGCATGTAAGTTTAGTGGGCTACTTTTCTCATCACCATTTAATTTCGAGATGAAACCTTATTACAGTGCACATAGTTCACCCTCTAATGTTGTGTATGAAACGAACACGATGAGCATAGCTTGAAACTAACCCTGATCGACTCCATTTGGGCCGCTATTGATCGGGTCAAATTTGAGTTCAGTGACTTGGTCTACCGAGTTTGAGCCGACTACTATATCATTTTTTATTATTTATTTATTTATTTTAAAATAAAATTATGTTTATATTTATGTGACAAATATTCTTGACAAGGTTTTTGCTATTATATATACTATTATGTATATATTTATTTTAAAATAAAATTATGTATATACTTTATATGTATTTATATATTCGTGACAAATAGCATATATAATTTTACTATATATAATAGTATATATACACAATTAGTATATATACATAAATTAATTTCTAAATTCTAACTATAAGATAATAAATTCTAATTTATAACATAATAATATTTAAATTCTAATATAATTTATATAATAAATAAAAATTTGATTATTAAAAAAAATAATTTGCGCGGCCTACCGAGAAAACCGGTAAGTAGTAGAAGGGGGGCGGTGTTTAGTAATTCACTAGTTTTACTATGCCTATTTAGAATTTTTAATATGTATATAACTATATATCTTATTTATAATTTTTAATATATATATATATATATTAAATAAATACAACTCAATATAGTGACAGTGAAGATGCTACTCTGTTAAATTTAATTTCTACTCTATACTGAGCATTGTAATGGAAGGGAATCAAATAATAATAAATATAGTAAATAAACAAGAGGGGGGGAACGTGTAAAACAAGAGGCTCATAACTCATAAATGGGGGTTGTTAGAAAAATTACTGCTACAAAACAGTACACATAAAAAGAAAANCTGACTTGGTTATGATGTATGTAGCATTTGGTGGTGTGGGTTATCATTGGAGTGAACAAGGAAACAGCTTCTTATTACATTCTTGATTGATCCTCAGTCTGCACGACTCACTTTCGTTTGTGGGATTTTCTTCTCCTTTTGAACTTGGCAGAGTATTTTTTTAATGAAAAATGACCCTTTTCTTTTTGGTTCTCATTTTAGCTGTTTGTTTGTGATGGTAACTGGTGAGAGCCATGGAGAATGAGTGTAAAGAGTCCATTTTTTGTTGGTACTGTGAAAGCATTGATCTGAAAATGCAGGAAACTGGATTTGCTAGAGTTTCTGAGTGAGTTTGTTTATAAACTTTATTCCTTTTGGCCTGTGTTTATCTTTTAAAAATCGTTTCTTGATTGCAATAACCCAATCAACGCAATGAGAAAGCACGGTTGGCAGCTTCCTTACCATCCACTCCAGGTATCATTTTTGTATGTTTGTAAAAGATTATTTTTGTTTTCATTTTTTTTTTCCTCGATATTATTTATTTTATAAATGTATAACTGCTTAAGACGTATTTTGTGCAGGTTGTAGCTGTGGCTGTATTTCTGGCATTGGGTTTTGCTTTCTATGTTTTCTTTGCACCTTTTGTGGGAAAACAATTGTTCCAGTACATAGTGATGGGGATATACACTCCACTTGTAAGCACAAGTGCATACTTATCTTTAAAATTTTATTTCGTAATGCTTTTTAGTGGGATCTTGCAGAAAATGAGATCTGTTTCCCTTCTCCTTTTGAATTCTAATTGTGTTTTTACCTTAATCCCAAGAAATTAGAAGTGCCTCTACTATAATTATTTTTTTGAAAAACTGTACTATCCCTAGCCTTATTCTTCTACCCGGTCAACTTCTCTCAGCTAATTTGCGCGTTTGGCCTTTACATTTGGTGTGCTGGTGCTGACCCTGCCGATTCTGGAGTCTTTACATCAAAAAAATATCTTAATATTCCGGATAACAAGAAGCCCAGTAAACCCAATGAGTCGAAAAATGGTGGAGAGTCAACATCAACTATTTGTGAGGAAGCTAAAAATAAAGGAAAATTGGATGTGGAATCGGGAGCTCGTTTTGCTAAAGAAACTGAACGTAAGGGCAAATGCTTCCCGGGCATTCTGGCTTTATTGCCATGTGCTTACATTTGCAACTCACACGAGGAATCTTCTTGTCAACAGAGTGAAGATGGGATGTTCTACTGTAGTTTGTGTGAAGTTGAGGTTTGTGCAGTTTTGGTCAAATATGTTCTTAAGTTCACTTCTTCATATCAAATATCATTCCTTGGTACTGCATTATGTTTTGGATTGAAGTGGTGAGTAGGTGATTTTTCTTGGTTTTCTCTATATCTGGGGTAGTAAATATAAGATTCAGTTGCCGTTCGGCTAAGTTTCTTTTATAAATTTTGTAAGCTCCTGCGTGGTTTTATAAAATAAATTTTGAATTGTATGGATAAGTATAGATAGTGGTGATTCTATAATTTTAACAATCAAAATTTGACGTGCTTCGAATAAGTTGTTATTTTGAAGAAAAGTTTAGATCCCTCAAATTATAATTATTTTTATTTTTTATTTTAGGACTTACAATCACCTAATAACTTGAGTTTATTGTCTCAGCCTAGCACTCTCTTATAAGTTTTTATTAATGTTCTGTGTTATCTGACTAAAATGATTTCCAACTAACAGGTTTTCAAGTACAGCAAGCATTGCAGAGTCTGTGACAAGTGTGTTGACCGTTTTGATCATCATTGCAGGGTAATTTAATTATTACTGTTGGCCTAATTTTTACTATTATTAGAGAACCCCTTCTAATCCTTTTTTTTTTTTGTTTAATCTCGTAGTGGCTAAACAATTGCATTGGCAAAAGGAACTATCGAAAGTTTTTTACTCTCATGGTGTCTGCACTTCTCCTGGTATACTCAAACATTAATTTTCTATCTTCCCTAATATAATGCATTGTATTTTCAGAAACATGCTCTATAAAATCAAAAAAGAATTGGATTAATCAAAGAACGTGCGAGTTTTTATATGCTCTATCCTAAACCACCTCAAAATTCAATGTCTTTCATATGTTATAATCTTAAAGTTTGTTTCGTATTTTAGATGAACACTGATAAGTTTATACACATTTGTGCGTCTTGAACCTGAGATTGCAGCTTATACTTCAATGGTCAACTGGAATTCTTGTACTTATCCTATGTTTTCTTGAGAAGAAGAAATTTTCCACCGACATTAGCTCCAAGTTAGGAAGCAGTTTCACTGTGGTTCCTTTTGTGATTGTGGTGGTGAGTGTATATATTGTTCTCATTCGATTTCGCGTTCTTTGATTAAATTTTTCTAATGAATCTTATTAATAAAAAGTATACTCTGTAATGTGTGCAATTTCTTGCAGGCGGTTTGCACCATATTAGCCATGATTGCAACTCTGCCCCTTGCTCAACTCTTCTTCTTTCACATCCTCCTGATAAAAAAGGTTATCCTTTCCTATCTTTATCCTTGTTTATCTTGTTTGTTTAGTTTGATTAGTTACAATGAGCTGTTTATCCTTGTAATATAGGGTATAAGCACGTACGATTACATAATAGCTCTAAGGGAGCAAGAGCAATTAGGTGGTGGAGGCCAACAAAGCCCTCAAATGTCTCCCGTTAGCTCGATTACGGGAATAAGCAGTGCAAGCTCTTTCAACACTTTCCATCGAGCAGCTTGGTGCACGCCACCTCGACTATTTGTCGAAGATCAGGTAAATAAAATATTCTACCAATATATTTTATTTGGTATAATTTCAATTTTGGTCCGTTTATTTGTCTAAAGTCCATTTTTGGTACACTAACTTACTCCTTATAAAAATATTAAGTTATGTTGCAATTTGTATCATTTTTGGGACATTACTTATCAAAAATAATACGTTACGTTGCAATTTGTATCATTTTTAGGACATTAACCCCTAAAATAATGAACCATTTTCGGGATAATGTCCCAATAGTGATACAAATTTCAACATAACGTACTATTATTGATGATGGGAAAGTTAGTGTACCAAAAAAGGAATTTGAACAAGTAAACGGACCAAAATTGAATTTTTGCCTTTTTTATTTATTGCATATCATTTTAATACTCATTCAATTTGCTTTGTAATTGTGTTTTGGTACAGTATGACGTGGTACCTCCTGACAATGTTTCGGTTAGCTCACTCGGTAAAAAGACAATAATACCCGACGAACAAATCAAGAGAAAGAATAATCCCGGGCCTGTAAAGATCAGCCCATGGACATTGGCCCGATTAAATGCGAACGAAGTGTCAAAAGCAGCTGCTGAGGCTAGAAAAAAGTCCAAGATCCTCAGGCCCATATCTCGGCCCAATTCAACTTTTGTCCATGAAACTGATAACAACAGCAGCTTTGGCAGCAGCAGCAGCAGCCGCATGATGGGCCCGAGGCCTGATAGCGGTCGAAAAAGGGGAAGTAAGCGAATCCGACTCCCAGCTGAGGTGCCCATTGACCCTCTATCTAGACTTCGAGGACTGGGCCCGTTACATTTGGAAGGCCCGAGTGATTATCGGACCCGAGGCCCGGTTAGCGCTGCCATCAGTGCCTCTTCGCCGGAGAGTAGTAGTATGGATTCTCCTGACATTCAACCATTTCGGGCTTCCTCTTCGGGCCCAGAAGAGAGGACGAGGTTTGTGAGTCGTCTTGCTAGTAGTGCTGATGTGGCAAATCAGGTGGATATTCTTCCTTTGTCGAGATCGACGAGCGATGGATATGATGCGTCTGGTGGTGAGGATAGTGACCGAGTTTCTACGAGAGCAATGCATGAGAAAAATTGGGATCTTTGAGATTTTTTTCTTTTTTTTTTGTTTTCCATTTGTTGGCCAATGTTGGGCTATAGCTAGATCTAATCTGCCGATTTCTGGGAGTTTGGTGCAATTTGTGGTGAAGGTGCTGAAAAAGATGTAAATTTTGTGTCCCTGGTGAAACTTTTGTGCCTGATGGAGGGGAAAGGAAAAGCTGTTTTTGAGGTTAGCTAAACTTTTGGTGATTTGTGACAATTTACTCTTTTCCTGTAAATTTATGACCATTCATGCATACTGTGGCATATAGATTCTTGTTTGTTCTTTGTCAACAATTCTTGTTATTGCCTAGGATTTTCTATTTTGTTACCTAGTAATTTTCTGATGAAAAAAGATGGCATAGCATTTCTCTTAGCAGTAAATAGCTTTTGTTTTTTACTTGCTGTATTTTGAATCAGGTACATTGTTTGGTTTTACCAAAAGTATGGTTAAATAGTAGGCTAAGTAAATGAGGTCCAAGAGCTCAAGTCTACCAAAAACAAAACAAGAACACAATTCACTTTTCATAGGCACTTTTGATAACACTTGAAAACAAACAGAACCAGCAACAAACTTTCAAGTATGTGATGCACAACGTACACTTCAAAAGGAATAATCAACCCAAAATATTTATTCCAACTTACA